TCGTATGCCGCCTCTCGCTGCGGAGTGGGCTGCAGACCCTTGCTCTTCACCGTCGGTGGTGGGCGCGGTTTCGGTGCTGGGAGCGCCTGATCGCTTGCCTCCCACTGCTCGAGCTCCTTCTGCCACCGAGGCAGCTCGACGTCGCGCCACTCCGCGAGATGCTTGGCGTACGGATCGTTGCGAGGAGCTCGAGGCTCGTGCCGGCCTTGGCAAGATCAGCCAATGGACGCTCGCGGCGGCGGGCTGCGTGCGTAAGTTGATAGATAGAGCTCAGCTGGTGTCGACGCCGTCCGTGTTTAAAGTTAGAGGTCTACATTTCACCTCTTTACCGGTGCTCTGCGTAGCAGCCTGCATGGTCCGTCCACACATGCCGGGGGGGGGGATCCGACCCCCGTCAGGGGGTGTCCGGCAAGGTAGGGGGGGGGTCCCGACCCCCCCAGAGGCTTCACCACATGCTAGGGGGGGGGTGGGGCGTGAGTAGAAGTGCGCCCCCCTCCCTGGAAGCGATGTCCGCCTGCTCTTCGACGACGTCGTCAACTGGCCGGTGGTCTTTCAGTGTGGTGAGGTGGGTTTCGTGACCGAGCGTCGATTGGCCTGTACGAGGGTTTCCGGCAACCCAGAGGGAAACCAGAGGGTCCCCAGCACTTTGCGTTTCCGGAGGTTTCCAGGGAAACCAGAGGGTGTTTGGTGCTCCATTCTGTTTCCTTGTCTGTCGTGTGAATCGTGCGTGTGCGAGAGCCTTTTGTTGTGAAATTCTGTTTCTCTCGAGTTTCCCTCGGGAAACTCGCGAGTTTCCCTGAGTCTGAGAGCTGGTCTGGGGCAAAATCTGGGGCAAAATTGAGGAAATCGGCACGATACCCAGGTATTTTCCAGGTATACCGGGGTTTTCCAGGTATACCCGCAAAATACCCGGTATTTTGCCGATTTTGGCCCCAAAACAGCCTCAGACACGGCTCAGAGCCCCCCCAAAATGACAAATTCCACGGAGTTTCCCCGGGGTTTCCCGAGGAAACTAGAGGGTGTTGTAGGGAAACAAGCAGGAAACACGGAAAGGAAACCAGGTAGGGTGCGAGAGGAAACCCTCGTACAGGCCAAAGCGTCGATGCCGCCTTACTTACCTGTTCCCCGCTGGCGCGACCCCGCGCCGGCCAGCGGAGCAATTGCCCGCTCAGTCACCACCCCCGCCGGCGCGACGCGATCCGATCGGCGCCGCCACCGACGGGGCCGCCGGCACGGAGTGCATTCTCCGTCGTTGCCGGTCGGGGTGTTGGTCGGGACATGGGCGACGCGACCTCTGCTCGGACCAAGAAAAATGAAAGCACGTGTGAAAAGTGAGAACGGAGTAGAGACGGTGCAGACGGTGCAGGCTCATTTCTGGAATCGTGTGTCCCCGAAGAAGCGGTCGAAAGCGCGTGTGAAATGTGAGAACCGAGTGGAGGCAGACGGATCAGAGACGTGCCGACAGCCTCCATCATCAGCCTCTGGAATGTCGCTCGCCCTGGACGCTGCGGAGCTCGCCAAGCTGCCCCCGCCGGAGGTCGACTCGGTCGAGAGCTCGCCCGTCGAGAGCTGCGACGAAGAGTACGAGCGCTCCGCGGTCGCCGCGCTGATCGTGCTCAGCAGCCTCGCCGAGCAGCACGCGACCGCGCAGGGGGTGGTGCCGTGCCGCCGCACGCCGTCGACGGAGTGGGAGTCGGCAGGCTCGCAGTCTGACTCGCCGCGCGTCGTTCGGCGCAAGCTGGGGGACGGTGCGGCCGCCTCTGCCCTCTGCAGCCGCGGCGATGCGCAGACGCTCAAACACTCAAACCGCATCCAGCCGAGCCCTGCGCTGGTTCGGCGCCGCGCACGCGCACCGGCGGCCCGACGGCGTTCCCGCCCACGTCGCAGGCGGCTTCGCCCCCGGCGCACGCTTCCAGTGCCGGTATGGTACCGGCTCGATTTGTCCAGACCCCCCCCTTTTTTTTTTTTTTTTTTTTTTTTTTTTTTTTTTTTTTTTTTTTTTTTTTTTTTC